TTTTTGTCTTCCCAATAATGTATGTGTGTGTGCTTATTGTTTCCAGGATGCACATATCCTACCCTGAAGGCTTCATCAGAAGCTCTGTCACAGGAGGCATATATCATTTGAAACAGCTTCCCAGGTGATTATCCTCTAACACTTCCTTGTTGACATAAAGAGCCTTATGGAACGAGAGATATTTTCTCACCTAGTTCAGAATGTTGGCAGGTCATAGGTGATTTTACATGTTGGATAATAATGGGTACAATGGAAGTTGGGGTGAGACGTATGTTCCTCCTTCAGTGGACTATAAGAAGTCTTTTAACAGTTGTGAGTGGTGGCTCACCATAATCATAGTAATGTATTATGAAGATGATGTGTGATCAGTGATGTGTGGAACAGATTGGAGGAGAGAGAGGGATTACGTATGTCACACTAAATGCCAGACAAAAGGTTTATGAGATTACAAAGGATATTGAGCTATATGTAAAACTTCCCAGAGCCATTCAGATATCAACCACAAGGACAATAAATCTTTATATGAGGCTCTGGAGTCAGGACTTGGAAGGTCATCGCCAAGATAGATTTTCTTCAGCCAGGTACCCAGGACTCTTCTGCCTAACATGGCCAGGTCAATTCTGGACATGAGTTCCAGATTAGAGTTGATTAGGGATATGAGGCTGGAGAAACAGTTCTTAGGCTCAATTTAATCTTGAGTGAGGACTGACCACAGAAGGGAACCAATTCTAGAAAGAGTCAGTTCTGACTGATCTACTTCCAGACTGATTCTAATGCATGGTATCAACAACTGAACTCTGTGTAAGAGTGAATGTACCAATGCATTCATTAACTCAGATATATAGGAAAAGGTAAAACTGTTTTTGATGCTTAATTTATTTCTACCAATTTGTTTTGTTTGATAACAACATGCATTCAGAAGATACTTGTCCTTCACTTTCCAATCTCCTTTTACCCTTTGTCAGAAACCTTGCAGGCTCTCCACAGGTAGCTCCATTTGTAATCCATTTGACACAGCAAGACTTTTCATAATTAATGAAGCTCCTTACATCACTGCTATTGACCCAGAATGTAGGACAGGAGGTGCACTGAAGCAGTGGAAAGGACAGTGGACTGAGAGCCAGGAGATCTGGATGGTTGTCTGAAGCCTGCAGTGGAACTGCAACTGCAGCAGAACATAGATGGCTCGCTCCTTTTTTGCACCCCTCTTTTTCCCCAGTTGTAAATTGGAAAGATGGGAAATAGCAGGCTCTGTCTAAAATGAAGTATAATCACTAGCCATGAAAATTCCTACCTTTTTCCACTGAAAATCAATTTAAAGTAAATTGTGGTTTTGGCAAAGAATACTGAAGAATGAACAAATCTATTTTGGAGGAAGTGCAGCGGGAATGCTTCTTAGGAGCAAGAATGGCCAGACTTCATGTCTGGTACTTTGGTCATCTTATCAGAAGGAACCAGTCCCTGGAGAAGGATATCATGCTTGGGAGAGAGTCAGAGAAAAAGGAGAAGACCCTCAATGAGATGGACTGACACAGTGGCTGCCACGATGGGCTCAAGCACAGCAAAGACTGTGAGGATGGTGCAGGACTGGGCGGTGCTTTGTTCTGTTGTGCATGGGGTCACTATGAGTTAGAACCGACTGGATGGAACCTAACAACAAAGCATTATCGAGTCCCGCTTTGATTGTGGGGTGAGGGGGGAATATGATTACTTCTTTAAACACTAAAACAAACAAAGAACAATTTCTGAGTTGAGGACTACCATGGAGCCTAGAAAACAGGTGAATTCTAGTATTTTTATTGTAAGCACCCTGAAATTTGCCTGACAGGATTTTATATGATTTTCATACCATTTCTGAGATTTGAAGCAGGGAAAAAGGGGAACAGGGGTGGGGCTTTCCTCCTGTTTCCATCTGCTTTAAACACACATGCAAATAGAATAAGAAGAGAAAGGAAATCGTAAGCCAAAAACAAAACAGATGGCTTTCTATAATGGTTTCCATCTAGTTAGAATTACGTTTTGACAATACGGTCTTGTGGAAAAGAACTGTAATAATTTTTTTTTTCCACATTTCACCCACATCATTTCCTGCATACGTTACCCTAGACCTGGATCATAAACAAATCACTTGAAAAGAATTCCAGGAAGGTCAAGAGGAAGCCTCCTTATGTTTCATCTCAGTATACACAGTCTGTTTTTTCCCTTTCCTTCTTTTCCCTTTCCCTTTCCTTCTCATAACTTTTTTCCTTTCCTTCCCTAAAGGGATGCAGGGTTCAATTCCTGGGTATCATTTATTTGGGTGGCTATATCCTTTTCATTCACAGTATCAATTTTTAATTAGTGTATTATAAAAATTTTTTTCAAATTCTAATTTTGTTTTCTGTTTATAAAAAAATACAATTCAATATAAAGTATTTATATTATACCTTTTATGATTACAAAAGTGATTTAAGAAAAGAAAATGAAATTTCTATTTTTCCATTAACATATAATTTAAAAAATGGCTGAATAATTTTTCACTAAACATAAAATATAAATAATTTTTCACTAAAAGGAATGTTTAGGATGGTTTGATATATAAAATATAGGCTACGTGGCACCCATGAAATGGAGATTGGGGGACCTTGTGCAGTCATCCTTCTGGGAAGCTGAACATGAGGTAGAGTGAGAGGCCCCTGTGCTGTTGACAAGAGGAGACTTGACAATCATGTTAAAGTGCTGAGGGCAGCCTCAGAGATGAGCCCTAAATCCAAAGTCCTAGGTTCCAGTGCTCTGAACTGCAAGTTCAAGATCAGTCTCCCATGGGCACCACACACTGTATGCTCCAGAGTAAGTGATGGCAGGGATTGTTCTAATTGATGATGGGTGAGGATTCCCTGAGCTGGACTGGATGGGCCAGCTGGTAAACAATGAATGCAATAATAACAAAAATAGTAGCATTTGTTGAGTGTTTGATCTCTCTAAAGTGTATGAGGCATATAACAAGTATTGCTTCATTTGATCCTCACAACAACTTTCTGAAGTGAGTGACATTATTATCCATTTTATTAGCAATGAGGAAACTGAAGTTTCCAGAAGTTGAAAACTTGTTTCAGGGCACAAAGCTGGCAATTGGCAGACCCAGCATTAGAAACCAAAGCCATAATCCAAAGACCCTGGTCCTAATCACCAGGCTTATTTTCTAGCAACAATCTTCCATGCTGTTGTTAGAGTGATCTCTCACACACCAATATGTTATTACTTTTTTAAAAACTACAAAAACAAAAAACAAACTCACTGCTGTTGAGTCGAACCCGACTCATAGCGATCTCTCTTTGGGTTTCTTAGGTGGTATTACTATGGAAGTAGATTGCCCAACAACCTTCCTTCTGAGAGTGGCTAACATTACAAGGTCTCCAAAATGCTACAATGCTACACCCATAGCTTAAGCCAATTAGCCCATGTCCAGGCCCTTCAAGGGGTGCTTTGAGCCACCTGGTCCAATGTACCCCCTCTTGTTTTGTGACACCCCCACCATCACCCCATGCAGGTCGGGTCACACTAATCCACAGTCTCTTTGTCTAGTGTTCTCACTTCCATCTCTCCACCTTCTGCCATGCTGCTCCTTGAGCCAAGAAGGTGCCCCAGATCTGCTGGCAAGTCTTCCTGCTCCTAATTTAGAGGCAAGTGGGCCCTGTCCTCCCTCCCACCCAGACTCTACTTAGAGGAAACAACAGTTTCTTATTGTTGTGTGCCATAGAGTCAATTCTGACTCATAGTAACCCAATGTGAGAGTAGAACTGACCCATTAGGTTTCCTAGGCTATAATGTTTATGAGAGTAGATCACCAGAGCTTTTCTCCCATGGAGCACTGGTGGATTCAAACTGCTGACCTTGCAGTTAGTAGTAAAGCACTTAACCACTGCACCACCGGGACTCCTTAAGAGTTTCTTGCTTGCTTCTAAAAAGTCTTTCCCCTGTACCTTTATTTGAATTAGATGCTTCACTGATAGCTGCTCTGTCCATGTATGCTTAATGAAAGTGCTTCTTAGTCATTTGTACCCATCTTCTCTCTGAGTCTTGCAACGGTAGGTGCTGATTTAACAAAGATTTACTATTTGTGACAGGGGTTACTCTTTTATGTCCCAGGCATTGCTCTAGGTAGTGGAGATGCAATAAATATCTAAAGCATACAGAAGCCCTTTCCTCATGGAATTTACATTCTAGTGAATATCCACTTTCCATTTCTGTGTTAGAGTGTATACTCCTATGCTCCAGATGGCTCTTGTGACAAACTGCCTGTGTTCATATTCTAGCCTTTCTGCTTACTATCTTGGATTTAACTTCTAATGTGCTTCAGCTTTCTGTAAATTGGGGAACAAAATTGTATTCATCTGAGGGACTCCATTCTTTATGTCATGTTCTCAAGGTCAGACAAATGTATACAGGCAGTCCTGGGTTGTGAATGTCTGACTTACAGACAGCTTGTAGTTGTTTATGTTATGTAAATTTGCCCTCACATTTAAATGATTGAACTGACCTCTACTCACAAGATTCTTCCTCACAACCACCTTCACTTATTACACATGTAACTTTTGCATCAGGAGCTCTGGTAGCATAGTGCCTAAGGCGGTTCAAACCCACCAGCCATTCCTCGGAAGGAAGATGGGGCAATCTACTTCCGTAGTGATATTGCCTCGGAAACCCAAGGAGGGGTCGCTATGATTTGAGGCCAACTCGACAGCACATAACAACAACAACAACAACTTTTACATCACTGAAAAGGCTTACAGCATTTTCTTGCACTAAAGTAAGGCTAAGTACGAACCATATGCACTTGTTCCTATTTAACTGCAAATTCTTAATGACACAGATCTTGTTGGTAACCCAGGGATGGCCTGTACTCAATGCCTTCTATTGTATGTATAAACAGTTTGCTTTAATTTCTCAAGAAACAAGTCCCAAAGTTACAATGTTGAAAAAAAAAGTCTTCTGCCTCAAAGGGAAATGACAGGACTCACCTTGATTTTTCAGTGGTAAAGGCATAGTTTCCCTGAGTTTGCTTAAAAGGTTTTTCATTTCTCGCATGTCTCTGTAAAAGTGATAAAAAGAAAGGATAATCAGCCATAAAGTTTTGAAATCTTAAGCAATCTGTTCTACAAGACAACTGAAGAACAAGATTTGTGCCTCATTGTACTAGCTCTAGTTTTCAATAGGCACATATTGAGTTTATTTTGTTTTCATAAGAAAAAAAATCTCAGATGGGTTGGCTCTAAAGGAGTGAGAACTCCTCTGTCAACTGCTTTCGCAGGGTACTCTTTTGTAGGAGACTTCATCTCTGCCTCAAACCTGACCTGCCTGAAATTGGAGAAGATACTTGATAATGAGAACAATACTTCACACTTCTAAGGAGAGGCAATGGACACAAAACTAGAATAATGGGCATCTACTACCCTGGGAAAAGTTGAACCTGGATGGTGGTGTTAACATGGCTTTATAGTCAGAAAGCTGTTGTGGCTATGCATGTGCACTTGTGCACTATTGTCCACTTAGTTTTAAAGCCATAACCATGAATGGAACTCAGTGCAACACAGGATTAAGCATTCACAAAATGGCTAACGCTCATTATAACTGATTTGGAATGATGGGAGACAGTAGGCTAACCACTGTAAATGTTAGATAAACAAAAGGGAGAAATTACTCCGTCCTACCTTTGGACAAAGTGAGGCCCTGAGAAATTGCCAGCAGCAGGAATGAAACAAACTCTAAAACCTCCAGAGAAGAGCTCTTCACAAAGGGGAAAACAGAGAAACAGAGGGAAAAGGGGAGGGAGAGAAAGAGAAAAACACTACCTATGACAGCGTTGCCTTCCTCTAGCCACTAGCATGTCCTTTCAAGCTTTCTGGCTCCTTAGTCTATTGCATACAATGCCATGCACATTTCCATCTTTTCCCATCTCAGAGTCTATATGACCATAAAACTACAGAATTGTAGAGCAGGAAGCTATGTCGGGGGCTTCTCGTCTAGGCAGGAGGCTTCCAGGGTAGGACAGGGAAGATTTGGACTTTTCAAATCTTTGGGACAATGGTTCCCAAATACATGTACTAGAGTTACCATTCTTGAAATCCTAGGACAGTGATATATTCATTTAGGACAGGAAAAATATAATATGGTACAAAACCAGATATATCTTTTAGTTAACTCTAGAATAGAGAAGCAATGATAGACAAGAAGGATTTAAGACCCTTTTTTTGGGGGGGGGAAGACAATGCTAATGTTGAGGAAATTCTATCCATTAACTTGCCTCTCTCTGGCACTTAAGGAAAGAGAACCAAAATTTAATTTTAGGTACAAAACCCCTCAATCTAGTTCACATACTACTATTGTTTTGTTGAGCATGGTTTGAGGACTACTGTCTTGGGAAGGACAGACACTCCCTGGGGTATCCTTCTGAAGTACTGACTAATATTCTTGTTGTTGTTATGTGCCGTCGAGTCGGACCCGCCTGACTCATAGCGACCCCTCCTTGGGTTTCCAAGGCGGTACCATTGTGGAAGTAGATTGCCCAACCTTCCTTCTGAGGAGTGGCTGGTGGGTTTGAACCATCAGCCCTCTGGTTAGCAGTCAAGTGCCTTAGGCACTATGCTACCAATAAATCTAGACTTGGGGTTAGCTAATTGGAAAAGGAGGGGGAAAGCAGCTTTTTGGATTCCCTCTATAGAAATATAACTGTAGAAGGACTCAGAGTGCCCTTACCCTAGATTAGTTACTCTCTTTCATCTCAGTTTCCCTCTGTGTGAAGGTGTATCTGTGAGCACTACATGCTGATTAGTCCTAAAAGGTATTTCTGGAGAGGGAAGGTGGGCATGGGGGGAGGGGAAGAAAGGAGTGCAAGGTCCTACATCCAGAAGTACAAGGGGCACATTCTGTTTCTAGGTAAAATTCTTAAGAGTAGATGGGATAGATGGGAGGTACACAGGCACAAGGTGGCAAAAGGCCAGGCAGGACTGCAATACATGGGATTGATACAAGGTCTCCCCATAAAGCACCAATTCTCTTGGCTGATGCACAGGATAATCACTTTATGCCTTGGCTCTACTCTAACAGATTCTGATTTAGTTGGCTTATGGCAGCACCTAGGCCAAGTATCATTGCTTTTTAAGGCCATCCTGGTGATTCTAGGCAGAGTCTGATCTCTTGTGGTTGAGAGCCAGGGAGTTTTGAGGAAACTGCCCTCCAGGACTAGGTCTGCTGTGTCCACTTTTCTCAGTCTTTCCCATCTCCTTTGATTTCAGTCTGGACTTTCATGCTGAACTTAAATACTGTCAACACCATGGATTCTATTAGTTTATTCTTATTACTACCCATCATTTCCTTTCTTGCAAGCTTTAGGCTTGGATATAGCTGCTGTGCAGGTTTCTGTAAAGGAAAATGGCTTTGCTCATTGATTATGCCCTGACCATGTCATTGTGGCAGACATTTTTCCTAGGAATAGAGCAAACAATTTTCTATTATATAAATTAACACAAATTGCTCCCTCATCATTTATCTACAGTTCTATCAAACTGCACAAAACAGCCTTATTGTTTGAATGGTTGGGCTTCCAAGCCCATACAAAATCCAAGTTTTATTAATAGCACATAATTACCACATGCTCCAATTTTCTATAAACACAGAAATTTGGTAATTAGCTTTAGAATTATATTACAATCGGGAAGTAGAACCACAATGGCTATAAGTGCCATTGTGTGCTACATTTCTAAAAATAAGAAAATAAAATGTTCATTATCTTGTCAATGACTCAACCCCACACACAGAGAACACTTCATGGAATTGCCCAGTATTCATTCAGCTGCTTTGTTTAGCTCTGGGGACATCAGCAGAAAAGGACATGATAGCAGTCTGAAGGCCGATAAACAAGAGCTTTGTCCTTCTGCTTCACGGAATGACATTTTTAGCATCTAAATGAGATGCAGAACTTATTATAATATATTACTGTTGCTCCCTTTTCTCAAATGAAATAGAATCACACTGTAGAGTCTCTTCTCCCCAGGAAAAACACTCTCTCACTGTTGTTGTTGTTATTTGCTGTCAAGTAGGACCCAACTCATAGCGACCCCTCCTTGGGTTTCTGAGGTAGTATCACTATGGAAGTAGATTCCCAACCTTCCTTCTGAGGAGTGACTGGTGGGTTTGAACCTCCAGCCTTCTGGTTAGCATTCAAAATGCCTTAGGCACTATGCTAAGGGTCCAAAGTCCTGCAAAGATGCCTCCAGTATATTCTCAGATTTCTGGTATACAGAATAGTCTGCTTAGTTGCCAGTCAAGGGCCAAACATCTTGTTTTATTCACAAACAGCTTTTTACAGAGCTCTCTACTCCAACTCTTCTAGGTGTACCTGATGGTCCCTTAGTGGTCAAAGAGAGTTAATGCATTTGTTTTACTAACTTTTGCTCACCGCTCTGGTAGCATAGTGCCTAAGGCTAACTTAACTTAGCCAACTAACTTAACTTGACTGACTTAACCCTTAAACAAATGGAAATTTTGGGAACCAGTTCAGTGGATAAAGTCTGTAGATTCAACTTTCTCCCTTCCCCAAAAAGCACAGTTTTCATATTCCATAGAGATGCCATGTATTGGAGTGAGATAAGCAGAAACCTGGCAGCCTATGCCTACTGTAGGTTCTGCTTCTCCTGCGGGATTTTGGATTAGTTACCTCATCTCATCTGAGATTTCTTATTTGTAGATGCAGCAATCTCCAAAGCCCCTTCTAGCACTATGTTTCTCTGGTAGACCAAAGAGAGCTCTGTTTCTGAGCCTGTAATAGAAATTCTCACCTCTCTTTGGGTCCTAAGAATATTAACTAGAAGTGGACTGGCAATCTATTCAAGCTAGTCTATTTAAGGTAACTTCATACTTACCTTTCAGTGTTCTCAATGTCTGTGGAAACCAGCCAGGAATGTTGCTGGACATCTGTGGGGGATGATGAAGACTCCTCTAGAACAGGTGTTTCAATACATTCTTCAGTTTTGCAATCCAAACTTTTGGATCCCCCGCCAGGCTCTTTTCCTAAGATAGGAGAGGGTATTGGCAAAGAGAAAGGAATAATTTGTGAAGGCAAGATTTATACTCAAGATGTCACTGTGAAGGCTTCTTATGCTTTGAGTCAAATGTTCCATTAACCCTAATAACTTTCTCAATAGTGATTACATATATATATATGTGTGTGTGTGTGTGTGTGTATACACACACACACACACATATATATATACGTATGTTTGTGTTGTTGTTAGGTGCTGTCAAGTCGGCTCTGACTCATAGTGACCCTAAGTATGACAGAACAAAATACTGCCCAGTCATGAGCCATTCTCACAATCCTTGCTATAGAAACACTGCCCAGTTGTGCACAATCCTCACTATCCTTGCCGTACTTGAGCCTATCATTTCAGCAACTGTGTCAATCCATCTCATTGAGGGTCTTCCCCTTTTTTTGCTGACCTCCACTTTACCAAGCATGATAGCCTTCTAGGGAATGGTTCCTTCTGACAACATGACCAAAGTAGGTGAGACTATGTTTGGCCATCGTCCCTTCCAAGGAGCATTCTGGCTGCATTTCTTCCAGGACAGATTTGTTCTTCTGGCAGCCCATGGTACTTTGAGTAGTCTTCACCAACACCACAACTCAAAAGTATCAATTCTTCTTTGGTCTTTCTTATTCATTGTCCAGCTTTCACATGCATATGAGGTGATTGAAAATACCATGGCTTGGGTTAGGCACACCTTAGTCTTCAAAATAACATTTTTGCTCATCAACACCTTATAAAGGTCTTTTGCAACAGATTTGCCCAGTGCAATATGACATCCGATTTCTTTAATTCTAGATATTCTATTCATTTATTTGTGATTGGGCTTTGGGTGTAAATTTACAAAGCAAATTTGTTTTACAATCAACTGTTCATGCACATTTGATTTCACAGCCCCAATTACCATCCCCAACTACAAAATACTCTTCTCCCTTCCCCTCTCCTCTCTTCCCTGTGACTACCCTCTCTCTGTGTTCTTGTTATCTATGTACTCCTGTCTGTCTAGCTTTCTGGTATGTGAATGCTACCCCTCTGGTGTCTCATGGCTGATTAATCTAAGGGATGCATCTCCCTAGAGTAGGTGGGTACATCAACCTAGGTCAGGTGTTCTGAATGTAGGTCTTTCTACTGTTGGGCTGAGAGCCAGTTCATGGAAGTGAGTCTGTTTCTATGCCCAAAGGGTAAGATGGGGCCATAGTCTCAGGGGTTCCACCAGTCTCTCTCTGACCAGTAATTCTGGTAGTTTTTGTGTTCTTGAATTTTGTTCCACATTTTCCCTCCTACTCTATCCAGGATCTCCAGTTTCGATCCTTTTCCAAGTGGTTGGCATTGGTAGATGGGCACCATCTAGTTCTTCTGGTCTTGGGGTCATGAAGGCTGAGATCCTTGTGGTCCATCTTATCCTTGTTTGCTGACGCCTTTGACTTTCTTCACTCTTCATTGTTCCAGATGGGAGGAGATGAATAGTTGCATCATACATGGCCACTCAAAAGCTTTTAAGACCCCAGTCGCTACTCACCAAAGTAGGTTGTAGAACAAGATTTTTACGTACTGTTGTGCCAAATGAACATGATGTCTCCCAAGACTGGTTGTGAGCCCACAGGCCCAGTGATTCTCTCTCTCAAGGTGTTTGGTTGTCTCTGAGAAGTTCCTCCAACTCTGCTTTCTGTTGGTTCTGTAATGTAAGTAGCTAATTTTGTAACACAAATGCATATGTAAGATTATCTTCAGCTAAATCTATCCTTGGTCTAGGGTATATTCCTGTTTGCCTATCCCAACCTGATCTTCTCACCTGTCTATGCATTTATCTGTAGCCTGGTGCTTGGTGCTAGTGGTAATGCAGTATTGTGCATACAGTAGTATTTGCCCCTGTTGTCTGTATCTTATGTGCACATTTCAGTGCCTTCCTTTCCCCAATGTCATCATGCTGGTCACAGACTCTTTCCATACTGTCCTTTCCCTCACCCAAATCAACATGTAACTCCCAACTGGTCTGAAATTTTCCCTCTCCTTCCTTCCCATCCCTGGTAATTAACAAAGTAAATATATTCCCTGAGTAAACCTTTCCTTGACCTTTTATAAAAATGAGCTCATACAATATTTGTCCTTCTGTGATTGCCTTATTTCACTCAGCATATTGTCTTCCTAATTTAAGCCTCAAATTGCAATATTGAAAGATTCTATGGGCAAAATATTGAATGATGCAGGAAACATCAAAAGAAGATGGAAGGAATACACAGAGTCACTGTACCAAAAAGAACTGGTCAATCTTCATCCATTTCAGGAGGTGGCATATGATCTAGAACCAATGGTATTTAAGGAGGAAGTTGAAGCTGCAATGAAGGAATTGGCAAAGAACACGGCTCCAGGAATTGATGGAATACCCATTGAAATATTTCAACAAATGGATGCCCCACTGGAAGCACTCACTCGGTTATGCCAAGAGATTTGGAAGACAGTTACCTGGCCAACTGACTGGAAGAGATCCATATTTGTACCCATTCCAAAGAAAGGTGATCCCACAGAATGTGGGAATTATCAAACAGTACCATTAATATTGTACGCAAGTAAGATCTTACTGAAGATAATTCAAAAATGGTTGCAGCAGTATATTGACAGAGAACTTCCAGATGTGCATGGTGGATTCAGAAGAAGACGTTGAACAAGGGCTATCATAGCTGCTGTCAGATGGATCTTGGCTCAAGGCAAAGAATACCAGAAAGATGTTTACTTGTGTTTTATTGACTATGCAATTGCACTTGATTGTGTGGATCATAACAAATTATGGATAACATTGAGAAGAATGGGAATTCCTGAACACCTGATTGTACTCATGAGGAACCTGTACAATGACCAGGAGACTGTCGTTCGAACAGAACAAGGGAACACTACATGGTTTAAAATCAGGAAGGGAGTACATCCTGGGTGTATCCTTTCCCCATACTTATTCAATCTATATGCTGAGCAAATAATCTGAGAAGCTGGACTATATGAAGAAAAACGTGGCATCAAGATTGGAAGAAGAATCATTAACAACATGTGATATGCTGATTACACAACTTTGTTTGTTGAAAGTGAGGATGACTTGAGGTACTTACTGGTGAAGATTGAATACAGCCTCCAGTATGGATTACATCTCAATACCAAGAAAACAAAAATCCTCACAACTGGACCAATAAACAGCATCACGATAAATGGAGAGAAGATTGAGGTTGTCAAAGAATTCACATTGCTTGCTCCTACAATCGACCCCAATGGAAACAGCAGTCAGGACATTAGACGATGTGTAGCACTGGACAGGTTGGCCATGAAGGAACTCTTTCAGGTGCTGAGGAGTGAGGATGTCTCCTTGAGGACTAGGGTGTGCCTGACACAAACCATGATATTTTCAATCGCCTCATATGCATGTGAGAGCTGGACAGTGAATAAGGAAGACTGAAGAAAGGTTGATGGTTTTGAGTTGTGGTGCTGGAGAAGAATGCTGAAAGTACCATGGACTGCTAAAAGAACTACCAGATCTGTCCTGGAGGAAGTGCAGCCAAAATGCTCCTTGGAAGTGAGAATGGCCAGACTTCGTCTCACCTACTTTGGCCATGTTGTCAGAAGGGACAATTCCCTGGAGAAGGATGTCATGCTTGGTAAGGTGGAGGGTCAAAGAAAGAGGGGAAGGCCTTCAATAAGATGGATTGACATGGTGGCTGTGACAATGGGCTCAAATATAGCAAGGATCATGGAGCTGGTGTGGGATTGGGCAGTGTTTTGTTCTGCTGTACATGGGGTTGCTATTAGTTGGAAATGACTTGACGACACCTAACAACAACAACAACATTGTCTTCCAAATTTATCCACGTTGTGAGATAATTCATGTACTATTTGTTATTCTTTAATGTTGCATAATATTCCATTGTGTGAATGTACTATAGTTTGGTTATCTATTCATCTGTTGATGGGCATTTAGGTTATTTTGATCTCTTTGCTATAGTGAATTGGGCTGTGAGGAACGTGAGTGTGCATATGTCTGTTCGGGTCCTGTCTCTCACCTCTAGGATATATTCCTAGTAATAAAATTGCTGGCCCAAATGGTTTTTCTGGAAATACCATATCATTAAGGAAAAGCCATATCATTTTCCACAATGGTTGTACCATGTTGTAGTCCCACCAGGAGTGTATGAGGGTTCCAATCTCACCACAACCTCATTAAACCAAAAACCAAACCAAACTCACAGCCATCGAGTTGATTCTGACTCATAGTGACCCCTCCTTGGGTTTCCAAGGCAGTTATCACTACAGAAGTAGATTGTCTAGTCTTCCTTCTGAGGAGTGGCTGATGGGTTTAAACCACCAGCCTTCTGGTTAGCAGTCAAATGCTTTAGGTACTACACCACCAGAGCTAGCATTTGTTGTTTTCTGTCTTGTTGAACCTTGCTATTATTGCTGGGGTGAGATGATATCTCATTGTGGTTTTGATTTGCATCTCTCTAATGGTTAATACTTGTGAGCATTTCCTCATGTGTTTGTTGGCCACCAGTATATATTCTTTTTCTTTTTTTTTTTTTTTATTGTGATTTGGGTGAAGATTTACAGAGCAAATTCACTTTCCATACAGCAGTTCGCATATACTTTGTCTCA